TTTTTTTTTTGAAAAAAAGAAGAGCAAAACAGAATAGAATAGATTCAAACAGAGACCTCAGGGCTGTTGGGAGAAGAGATGACCACTGGCTGTCCTCTGTCTGATGTCTCTCTGATGGTTATGTGAAGAGGGATGTCACCTGGAAACAGTCACATATACATGAAATCACACGTTAAATATAAAAGAAATCAAAAATGGTTTCAATGTTTTCAAAAACAGAAAATCAAAAGCTTTACTTTGTTGTTTTCAAATGAAATAGTTCATAAAACCAATGTCAAATCATCCTTGTGACGGCAGTGAGACACATCCAAGTCACTCGGTTCATTCCAGATATGGGGGTGTTGAGGCAAAAAGCTTTTTTTCTTTGCAGACACGTCTGGGTTAGGACTCTATAGTAGTCTAACAGTCAAAACATAGCAACTAGAGGCATTTGCAAAAAGCAAGTGTTAGATCTTCAAGGTCATACAAACATCTACCACGATGCGGATAAAACTGTCTCATGTGACAGGCCAGGTCCATGAAAGTTGTGTGCTATGACTTAAATATGGGGTTTGTTCACCATCAATAAGATGGCGAAGAAAATGATTAAGTTAAATTGTACGATGTGTGTTAGGACTATCCACAGCTTTGCCCCAGGGAATACAGAGAGTGCTGCTGAGTTCATGCTGTCAGGCTGCTGTGGTAAATGTGAATCTCTAAGCTGCATTCCTGTTGGTAATCTATATGAACTATAGCTTTTGGGTGCCAGTTTAGCAGACTGATTGAAGAGGTACCCATATTCCTTCCGACTGAAATGTGGTGGCCCGGGTTTGAGTCTGACAAAGGTAAAAAGCCCAAAAATAAATCTTAGCTTTTAACAGATAAAAGAAAAATCTGATTCCTGAGTCTTACTTTGTCAAAAGCCCACTAAAGAATTTAGGAATGACAACATGAATGAAAAAATTCCTATAAAATATATATGTTCCCTCAACTTTATGCATGCCACTTTTACTGCACCTAATGTCTTGGAGCATACGAGGGTTAATACGGACAGCAAACTACTTCGAGCACCCTCGGACATCACTAAAACAAATGAAATGAAAGTGACGGTCCAACCTAAAAATGTGACTCCCAAAGTGTCTGCAAGCTGTCGGGCCCCATCAGAGCCGAAGATGTGGGTCTCGTGATTGCATTTGGGGCACTGGAAGACGCTCATGTTCTGAACCAGACCCAGAACCTGCAGGAAAGAAAATATCACTTCCTGTTGTATTCATCCACCCAACCTGAATCCAATAGTTTATGCATCCACTGACACACACATCAACACCTTACCGGCACGTTCACTTTCTTAAACATCTCGGCTCCTCTGCGAGCATCCAGCAGAGCGATGTCCTGCGGCGTGGACACAATAACCGCACCTGTACAAGACAAACATCACATGACCCGACTTAACTTTGAACTAAACATGTGTTATTTACTTCTGGGGGCTACAGCAATGAGGATACTTTTAAAAAGTGAAGTTATGTGTTTAGAAAACATCATTTGTATTAGGTGATGTGTGACAAACCCACCTGCTATGGGGATGTTCTGGGTGATCGACAGCTGGACGTCTCCAGTCCCAGGAGGCATGTCCACTACCAAATAGTCCAACGACCCCCAGTCCACCTACAATCACAAAACATGTTTCATCAGCTTCCTTTAAATTCAATAAACTGACAGTGCAATCTAAACTGGTCTCACCTGTCTGAGCAGTTTCTCTATACCAGACATCACCATGAGCCCCCGCCACACTATCGGAGCCACATCATCAACCAGAAAACCCATAGACATGCTGGCAGAGAAGAAAGTGAATCAGAAGAATAGGTCACATAATAGACATGATTTAGGGCTATTTATGGGTATAACAAAAAGGTTGTGATGTAATGTTGATGACAGTCTCACCAAGGAACCCCATAGTTGGTCAGGGGGATCATCCGATTATCTGAAAGATATGTAAAAAAAAGAAATAAAAAAACACTTTTCTGTTATAAAATGTTTACTGGAATTTTAGAAACCTTCAGCTGAATTGAACTAGCCATACTGTCACTGAGCTCTGGGTTTCCTTTCAGGTTCATAAGTTTGGGAATCGATGGACCAAACACATCGGCATCCAACAGACCCACAGACTTTGACTGGAAGAGAGAGAAAAAGTCATACAGTATAGCTCTGAGGAGGACAGACTAACAGCTCACTGTCATATGTGTGTTGTTTTTTGATGGCTGAAATTACATACATATATAGTATATAAAATATATAATATATAATGATAAAGCAGATTCCTTACCATGTCATTGGCCATTAATCCTAGAGCCAAATTCACTGGCATGAGAGAAAAAACAGACCAAATCAAATCAAATACTTCTCATTGAAAATGTTCAAACATTAGGCCACCTGAAACATGATTTTCTTTTAATATTTTTCCATTTAAAGATCTTTTATGATCAGTGCCAAAGTAAAAAGTATAAGATCTTACGTTCAAAATGGTTTCTTGTTAAGTAACGTTTAGCAGAAAACACTGCAATAGCAGATGAAATCTACTTCACCAATTACTTTTCCATTTCAGAACCTTATTTCTTCCCTTTTTTTGGCATTGTTCTATAAACTCCAAACAAGGCCATACCTAAAAAGGAATTCATTCAAAAGCACCAATTTTACCCTCTTAAATAAAATAGCTCTGGAAGAAAAAAGATGGTGAGAGAATTTTCCATTGTTTAGTATGAGTTTTACTGAGCACCTGCAGTAGTGGACTTCCCAACACCACCTTTTCCTGAAGCCACAACAATGACTTGCTTGACCCCTGGGATGGGCTTCTGTTTGGGGAGACCTCGGGCCATCTGCTGCCTCTGCCTCTCCTGCAATGCCTTACTGTCCACTGACCTCTGTAAACCAACAAACCAGTAAATAATGTAAACAAGGCAAAAGTTTAGTTGGTGTTTGAGAGATTAAAAGACCAAAAGACACATTAACGCTGAAATTACAGATAGTCCCAGATGACACTGTGGTCTATGATAAATGGACTTTGATCTGAACATAAAATGTAAACAAACCTTTTCTTGATGCACGCAGGTAAGTAAATCCCAAAAGGTTGATTCTATTCATCTGGACATAGCATTTTTCAGTGGGAGAAACATTTCATCACTCATCCAAGAGACTTCTTCAGTCTCAGCTGACTGCAGGTTTCCCCAACCTTATAAAAAGACCCCAAAGTCCATCTTTTAAACGAACTGCAAAAGAAATTTCCCTCGTACCGACCATAGCTGGACTTGCCATCGGGCATACTGGGCATCTGCCCGGTGGGCCGATGGAGTTTTTTTTGTAACGGTATAAACAATAAAAAGGTGGTGGGTTGGCCAGATGCTGGCCGATGTGTAAAAATAACTCAGTTGTTTGGTGGTGGCTGTGGCGGAGCTTCGACAGAGGCCAGCAGGTGGATGAGGGAAAAACGGGAGGCAGGAGGAGGAGAGACCCTGAACTTCAGGTAAGAAGTTTCGACCTGCAGTCTATCTGGGTCAGATGTAAACCAAGTTTAGGTGGAGTTTATTTTCGTTGTGCTGACTTTTTACAGTCAGTTATAATAACTCACACTGCGTACTAGCTAGCATGATGGAGTTTCTATACATCTGGGTGGGTGCTATGATGTTACTGATGTTGAACTTTATTCATAAGGTTAGTTAGTAGAGTTGCCAACCGTCCCGTAAAAAAACGAATCGTCCCGTATTCAGAGAAAATATTACACTTTTCGTATGAAGGTGAAAAGGAACACAGTTTGTCCCGTACTTTAGCTAGAATGGAAAAAGACACAAAGCTGGAGTTATTCTGCGTCTTTACACTGTCAGCTGCCTCTTCTTATGTGACGTATATATGTGTATATATGTGTATATGTGTATAACACATATATATGTATATATTGTACTATTCTTAGTTAGCGTATTGTCTGTTTTGTCTTAATGTTGGTTTATAATGGAGCACTGTAACAAAAAATAATTTCCCCCAGGGATCAATAAAGTATTCTGATTCTGATTCTTCTCTCATTCTCTCGACCTCCCTCTCCTGTTTCTCCTTCTTCAGTCAAAATGCCTGGGCCGATTTTATATATTTCTTTAAGCAAGTTCTTCATGACTGAGCCAAGTGTCCTCTTTTTTGGAAATCAAAGTATGGTCACCCTAGCATAAGGTTGGGGGAACCTGTAATCAGCTGAATCACTTGAATAAGTGACATAACGTTTCTCTCACTGAAAACGCTACGTCCAGATGAACAGATTTAACCTTTTGGGATAAACAAACCTTATACCATCCTCTTCATGAGGATTAAATAGAGAGTGCACAGAGTGGGATTACTATGCTTGCTACTATTCTTAGAAACATGTTCACGATATGTAA